GAGGGTTCTCGGTGAGTGCAGAGCTGGGCAGAAGGAGTTGCAGGGACCTGTCCTGTCCCTGAGACGCTCTCACTGGGCGTGGTGTGTCATACAGGAAACCACCAGTGCTGGACTGTGTGCAACACGAGGACGTGATGGGACAAGTGGTGGGTCGGACGGAGGAGATCTGAGAGCACCCATTTCTTAGCCTTTGTCTTCCAAAAGAGAGGCATGGTGAGACCTTCCCTGTCCATCTGATCAGTCTGCGGCAGATTGAGGAGATATTGTTTGTAAAAACGCTTTGAAGAGACACACTGAAAGCTATTGAGCATGACACACACTTGGTGAGGGCATGTGGCACAGCAACTGAGATCAGATAAAGGACGAGATTATGGAGAACCTTAAATTTAGCTGAGCACTTGCCTTATTTTGAGGGTAAAAGAGCTCACTAGATGTTTAGATGCTGGGAAAACCAGGAACAGTAGCAATTTCATTCATTCATAAATGTGTGGAAAACTCAGCAGAGAGTAAAGAGAAGAGGAAGAGAGTATCCTTAAGGCTTTGAATTCCAGTTCCACAGTGCTGGCAATCCTGGAGTTGGAAGGGCCACTTTTCAGGGATAGAGGAGCCAGGCTCTGAGACCCCAACCAGTAGGAGATGCATGCCCCTTGAGGGCGGCCGTCCTGTGGGGAGCTGGGATCCCCATCAGGAGCCTGATTTGATTGGCAGCTCATATGCACTGTGAGGTGGGCTGTCGATGAGCAGAAGTGGGTAGGGAAAATACAGAGGATCAAGGACAGAGCCTTAGTCTATAACAGGACTGAATCAAATCGAATCGAGGCAGGAGGAGCATCCATTTGCATGTCCTTCCCCTGGACTCAGCTCATTGATGTGTTATCTAGGTCATTTTCTTTGGTTTGTTGGGTGGAAGGATCCCAGTTATGTGCCTCCCATACCCAGCTCACCTTCTGATAACATGTGATGTTTATTTGGAACCATCCTGCCCTTTTCTGACTCCCCACAGGATTGTGAATTCTTGGAAAATGGGAAGGTGTTAACCTAATGCCTGGCCCTGAGCATTGTGCACAGCAGTGTGACAAATGATGGCATCCCAGTCCAGAGAGAAGAAGGCTTGACAAGGTGGAGTGGAGGACCAGACCAGTACATAGGGCAGCATGAAGAACTGAGCTTTCCTGGAATACAGGGTTCAGATTATTAGGGATCTTCAAGAGGCAGAGTCAGCAATCCTGTGGTGGTCCCAGGAAGTCTCATTTGGGGGAGGAAACTGGCAGGGGCAGGAGATTGGAGAATGGAATGGGCAGGGGTCGTTGGCTCCCAGAGTTTGTGGGAACATACAGGATTGATGGAGGAAAAGAGAAACAGATTTCGTCCATGTTTAATTATTGTTTTTGAGGGAAACCAGGATTCATGGATAAACTATAGTTGGCTCCTAGGCCTGCATAATACCAGACATTCAAACAAGTTTGGTGGTGTGCTATCGGGGTTGCCTGAAAAATTCTCCTTGGGCATCACAAGCTGTGACCTGGACAGACTCTAGTCTGTCCAGGGTTATGCTAACTTAGATGGCAATAGCAAGCTTTAATTTATGACTTATGACCTTCATGTAGGTAGCATGTAACATGTCACTGGCTCATCTATCAGGGTGAAGGCAAGGACGTTGGTGGCCTGAGAGCTGGGGAGAAGGTGCTGCCTGTCTGAGTCTGAGCTGGTTCAGGAGCACAGAGGTTCCCCTGGGATGGTGGGGCTGGAGAAGGGACACCAAGAGCTGCTTTGTATCCCTTCGTTGACTCAGAAAGTATAAAGTTTTCTTGCAGAAAATTTGAGGCTTACTCTTTTTGTACCTCCAAACCTTTCTTGGCATGTTTGTTAAAATAGTCACCTTGGTTTATTCCATTTATTCCACTTGAGATACGGGATTGTCTCAGGCTGTCTGGGCTGCCTTCAGGACCTAGCGGAAGGCTACCTGCTCCTGCAGACTTCCCCAACCTTCTCACAGTCAGGCGCTCCCTTCTCTGTAGTTCTTTGTGCTGGTGCTGTGTGTGTCCTGTGGTGATGTCATTTGTTCTGGACTCAGGGACAAGGGAGCTAGACGGAGCTCCTGCAGGCTAGGGGCCGTGTTCTAACGCTCTGTGTCCTTGGCCAGAGCAGGCCCCAGTCAGTCTGGTGGCAGGCAGAGAGCTTATACAAAGGGATTGATTGACATGTAGTTGGGCGCTTCACTGAAGAGCAAGCTCTGGGCTGAGGAGTGGGGCAAAGGAGACTCCAGCCGGTGCTGAATTTTCTACCTCTGGGGAGGAGGGGAGCTGTGCAGGAAAGAATCAAGAAGAAACTTTCTTAATTGTGACAAAATCTTATGCTGTGGAAGTGACCAGAGGAGGCTAGGAAGGAATCTCCCAGGCAGACGCTGCTGGAGAAGATTCTGGACCACAGATGCCCACATCCTGCTTCAGAGGGGAGCAGCTTCATCATCCAGACTCTTGTGTTTGTTTGCTTGTTTTTAGAAATCTTGTTCTTTCTGGTGGCTTTTCTTTTCAACTTTTTAAAAATGAAAACCATGGCTTCTCTTCTGTGTGGCTTCTGCCCCCGCAGATACAATAGCCTTCTGTTTCACTAATAGACAGTGTTCCCCTCATTCCCAAGAGTTTGCCTGCTGCTCAAAAATATTAAAACCAGCTAAATGGTTTAAAGTTTGGTAATATAATGTTTCATTGAGATGAAAATATAATACATTAACATGATTTGATTAATATGCTGAATGGTTTATTTGAACTATAATGAACCCTAATGATTTTGTGAGCAAATTGAATTACAATTGATATGTTTCCTGTTTCATAAGCTAATGAGTAACTTTACATTTGTAGAGGGCTTTAAAAAAATCTTTAAAACCATAAATATAAGGTTTGCACATATTTTATTGCTCTGACTCATTAAATTTCACCATTTCTGGAAATTTCCAGGAGGTTTGTCATCGTCATTGGTGTGAATTGAGAAAGACAGGCATGGGATCTGGATGTGGGGAGCTGGTAAAAGGAGGTAGTGGGCATTTCCTGGCCTTGAGGAGCCATTTGGGTAGGACAGTCCCCATCTACCAGGGATTTAGGAGAAAGTCTGTGAATAGGAAACTTTCAAAAAAACTTTTTTGAAAACTTTCAAAAAAACAAAACTTTCAAACAAAACTTTTTTTTTTTACTTAGAATGTGGGGTTCCTGTATCAGGATGGCAGGTAATATATGACCGTCCCAGCCTCTTGTGGCCATTCAGTCAGTGCCTGCAAAGAAGGGGTAATAAAAAGACCTTGACCTGGAGTTCCAGGCTGCTGACCTGCATCGGAAGTGATGTTGAACAAGTAATTAATCCTTTCAGCCTCCTCTTCTCATCTCCCACATAGAGCAGTTGATATTCACTCTGTGCCATCACATGTTCACCCTTAACCGCGGCAGACTATTGCAGTTGGACGTGAACAAGTTCTTCAAACATACACTGTCCCTTCTTGGGTCAGAGTCAAGTAGCTTCACATTAGAAAGGTCACTGGGGCTTCTCAGCACCTAGTCTTCATGGTCAGGCATGAAGAGGGGTGGACACCAGTGGAGAGGTCCAGTTGGGTCCAGGTTCTTGGCATCCCAAAGAACTGAGCAAGATATGCAGAAGAAACAGGAAGAGTATAGAGTTATTACAAGTGAAAGTGAAGAGCCCTGCGGAGAGTGGCTCAAGGCCCTGACGCCTGGGGATTCTGAGAGCCTTGTTCTCCTCCCAATAGTCCTGATTGAAGACCTTGCCCTGTTGTTCCCATTGGTTACTTTATTTTACCTCATTAGAACACAGTTTCCATTGGTTGCTTTATTTTTGCATAATTAGAATACAGAACTTGTGGCTGGAGTTGCCATGGTGATAAGCCTGCAGTGGGGGCGTTGCCATGGTAATGGGACTTACTGTAAACAGGGATGTTATGACTCATCTCCCTGTCTTGCATCCCCCTTTTTTCCCTTGCACATTTTTCTTGTACCCTGCCTCCACCATCTTGCTGTCCCCAAACTCCTAACTCAGGGTCTGGGTGAAGCATGTCCCAGACTTCTCTTTCTTTTCATAGGGCATGTCCCATATGAAAAGAAATAGGAACTGTTGGTGTAGTGGACAACGCACACTGGGATGGCCCCGGTCTCCTAAAAGTAGCAAAGGACACTTGGAGAGGGACTAATTTCTGAAAAGCAGGCTAATGACTAATTTAGTGGTGACTTGCAATCACAGACTGATAAGGACTGAGTTATCTGGATCATAAGAATATTATTAATATTTAGAACAAAACCATTTAGCCACATCTGATGTCAATATATCCTTTTTGTTTGGTGAAAATGCAGTGGAAGTTATCAACAGAGACTACCACACCTCTACGCCTCTGAACTGCATTTCTAGAGATTTCCAAGCCTGAATGCCATGTCTGGCTAGCTCTCTGTGTGACAGTGCCTCCTACTGCAGAGGGCTGTAGGGCCGTTTGGGTGTAACTGCACCCTTGTGATGCAAAGCCAGCCAGCGGTTGTGAGGGTGCTCACATAACACCTGCTTTAGAGAGAAAGCTCCCGAAGGGAGGAAAGAATAATTCAGGCCTTACAAAACCTTCCTTTCAGATACAGTTGTTGGCGGCTTGTGCCCTCGATATCTAAGAAATGTGGAAAACAGGTCTCTAGACAAATGTTAACTTGGAAACCAACCTGATCTTTAATTGGTCTAGGGGTGGTAGTAGGCAAAAAACCCACCCTGGCACAGGAAATAGTGCTTAATTTCCTTTACTATTGTTTCTTAAGTGTTTCTTTTCTTTTGAGATGTATCCCTTTATAATTCCATTGAAAATTATGCACCCTTTCCACAGAGAAATGCATAGAATTCATAGAATCTGGGTTCATTAAAGTCCTGCTGGTGATCACTGTTTGCTTAAAGCCAGAACCTTTTGCATTTAGTACTCCTGTGTTTCAAAAATAACCTGGTTTTGTTTTGTTTTCCTACAGAGAACTCTGGAGTGTTGCATAGGAAGGCAGCTCGTGAGAACTCCAGGTCCCTCCCCGTAAGTGGTTTCTGTTAACTGTACTTTGGGGACTGACTACTTTGTGTTGTTTCCTGGTTTGAACTGGATGCTGGCTCTTGGGTAAACATGATTTCCTTCCTTCTCATGAGAAAATAAAATTACCCATTGAAAGAAATACCTGAGGGCTTTGGTTGAAGATCTGTTTGATTTAGACTTTGAGATAATAACCAAGCATATTCCATAGGAGGTTGGGTTCCACCTGTCAGAACAAGGCAAGGCCACCTAAAAGTGATGATGGGGTGTGAAATCATACCACTTGTGTTCCTGGAAGAGTAGATATTAACCACTCCTTCCAATGTCTGCCAGTGGATGGCAGCCGCAAGGTACAGGACCAGAGAAGGTTTTAGAACTAATCAAAGCATCATAGGCAGGGAGAACTCTTGATGATGTCATGAACTTCTTCCAGGAGTGAGTTAAGATCTCAGGGCCACAGAAACATGCTCAGCCTCTTGGTTTCCAGGTCCATTTTGGTATATGTGTGCTCTGCCAAGGAGATCTCAGTCTGATGGAAAGTGGAAAATTGAGAATAACTGTCCAGAGTGCAGTAACGAGCATGGGTGATTTCATGTTCCAAATGTAATTAAGGATGCATTAATACCTTACGACACACGACACCTACTCAGACTCAGACTTGGCAAATTCTAGAAATACCGCAGTACACTGTGGAGAACCAGAGTAAGCTGTGTGCCCTTGTGAGCTGAGTCGCTCTGCTCTAGAGCTCAGGGGAGCATTTCTGGGTCTGCAAGGCTGGCGAAGCCAAGATAGAGGAAATGAACTCTGGAGCTTGAACTTAGCCTTGTCTCTGATAAAGCAAACCATGGGCACAAAAGTAAAATACTAAACAAGTCATTTCTCACAGCTTTGCTTAATTCCAGGAGCAGTGAACAAATGCTAGTGGTTATTTGTGATTCCTTTTTAGTTTCTCGGTGAACAAAGCACCTTGGGTCTGGATAATTCCCCACCTTCAGCGGAGAGTCGAGAACAGGCTCCAGAGGGCCAGGGCAGGCCTGTGGCTTGGCTTTGCTGGCACAGATGCAGGGGTGACTGTGCAGAAGCAGGGATGTGAGCTCCATGGTGGCAGTGGTGGCCGCAGGGTTAGGGATCCCCCAAGGGGTCCTGCATCTGGTTTTGGGATATTGGCCATGTTAGTGGCTGGCACTGGGCTCCTGGGGCAGACATGAATGTGGCTGGGTCAGTGTTCCTTGTGTGTGGCCTCAAGCCCTGTTCTTGTCTTTCTAGGAAGGGAGGAATTGTGTTTCTGTCTGCATTAGCTGCTTCTGTCCTACTAAGATCCCTGCGCTGAGTTCCTACTCAAGTCCTGTCTTAAGTCCGCAGTGTGTTTTCTCCCCTGGTATTGCTGTGACCTGGCTGTGGAGAGAAAGCCCCTGCTGAGAAGCCATACAGCCATGTGTTTCTGCTGCTCAATACCAGCATGATTGCCCAGATGCAGAGAGGACCCCAGGAGCACCATACCCCTGCTGGGTGCTGAGGATCACGTACCTCCATGGACCTGAATCCTGACATGCTCACGCTGCATGTCAACACCTGTTTCTACTCTGAAGAATATCAAGCAAGATCAAAAAAATCACATTCATTTCCAAGAAAGATGCACACCTAACCTCTGGCTATAGCCAGAACCAATTAAGGGAAAAAGAAAAGTGGGGCAAGATCTTTCCAAATCTGGGGCAGCTTTGCAACATCGTCACCCCTAGCCAACCCTGGTCAGTTCTGCTGGAATCCCCAGGGGGCGGTGGCAGCAGAGCATTTGAAAGCTCCCAGCCCCATCCTGATCCTCTCAGCAGAACTTTGGCCTCGAAGCTCGGGGTGTGGTTTCAGTATCAGGTGCACAAAGAGGGACTATCGACTGCTCTGTAACGTATATTCCCTGAAATGGCACTGACCTTGACTCCCATGTTGCCTTGATATCAGATCCAGTGAAACCAGGCACCACTACTGACAAGTCTCCTTTAATCTCTGCTGCTCTTCAGGTCTCACTGACCCAAGGTGTGGCTTGCCGTGGAGGCTCATCTGCATTAGAAGGATTCAATTCCTCTTCAAACTGTATTCCATTAGATCATTTTCCATGTGTGTGTGTCTGCCCTTGCACTCCAAATTTTTGTCTTTAAGCAGTTTAAATATTTGTGTTTTTTAAGGCATGAGAGAGGATATTACTATGTTTAATTAGTAATGTCAACTCATTGTGTGTTATAAGGGTATTCTGAAAAACTATGCTATTAACTCTTCTGATAGGGAATTAATATCCAGAATATGTAAAGAACTCAAAAAACTTAACACCCAAAAAAGAAAGAAAGAACCCAATAAATAAATGGGTAAAAGAACTAAAAAAACCTAAATATTTCCCCAAAGAAGAAACACAAGTGGCCCACAAGTATATGAAGAAAATTTCAACATCCTTAGCAATCAGGAAAATGCAAATCAAAACCACACTGAGATTTCATCTCATTCCAATCAGAAAAGCAACTATCAAGAATACAAATAACAATAACCACTGGTGAGGATGTAGGGAAAATGTTAACTCACACATTATTGGTGGGACTGCCAATTAGTACAACCACTCTGGGAAGCAGCATGGAGATTCCTCAAAAGACCAAAAGTGGAGCCACCATATGACCCAGTTATTCCAGTCCTTGGTATTTATCCAAAACAACTAAAATCAGTATGCTATAGTGAGGCATGCATACCAATGTGTATGGCAGCACAATTCACAATAGCTATAGAACCAGCCCAGGTGCCTGTCAACAGGTGATGCATAAAGAAAATGTGATATATATACATAGTGGAGTTTTACTCAGCCATAAAGGAAATGAAACTATGGCATTTGCTGATAACGGGATGGAATTGGAAAACATCATGTTAAGTGAAATAAGCCAGACTCACAAAGTTAAAGGCAAAATGCTTTCTCTCATCTGTGGGAACTGAAACAAAATAAGGGGGGAAAAGAGGTGGGGGTAGATCTCACAAAATTAGAGGAGAGATCAGAGGAATAGAGGAAGGGGATGGAGGGGGAGGGTGGGGGTGAGTAAAGGTGGGCAAAGTGGAATGGAATTGGCCAACATATGCTAAATGCACTTATGAATAAATCAAAGTGAAATTCATTTTATGTGTAACTATAATACACCAATTAAAAAATAATAAATAAGTAGAAGGACACCAGTAGATTAGAGGAAGGGGGTCAGGGAAGGAATGATGGAAGGTAAAAGGGAAGGACTGGGGGATTGAGAATGAGCAAACTGTATATGCAGTTGTGATCATGTCACAGTGAACTTGTTATCAAGTATAACCATAATGCACTAAGGAAATTATAAAAATGTGTCATTCTGCCTTTTACAATGATTTTCAGTGATGGCTTGAGTTTTTTTTCTACTGCAGCATTTGGGTTTGTATTCAAAATTTAATACACCTGATCTCTTCTCATTACACCATGTTGCATACATCCAATTAGATTTCACTAATTGGCTTTCTGCCATCATGTTTCAATGTCTTGTGTTCAGGCAAAGTCACTGTTAGCCTCCCACTACTCATATTGCCAACTGTCTTGTAACCAGGTTTAAGAATCCCTTGTGAATTCACAAAGGAGTTCTTTCAGATGGTATGTGTGCACACATGTGTGCATGTGTGTGTGTGTGTATGCATGAGCATATATGTGTACACGTGTTTGCCCATGTTGTGTGTGTACATATGTGCATGTGTATAAGTATGTGTATGTGCATGAGCACATATGTGTGCATGTGTTTGCACATGGTGGGTGAGTACATGTATGCATGTGTGTGTAAGTATGTGCATGAGTGCATATGTGTGCATGTGTTTGCACATGGTGTGTGTGTCCCTGTGTGAATATGTGTGTGCATGTTCATGTTCATGCATGCATGTGCTCCTGCTTGTGTGTTGTTTGTGCATGTGTGTCTGCACGTGCTTACATGTGCATGCGTGTGCACATGTGTACATACATACATTTAGGTGTCAGGTTTCAGATGATGGTTTCTCATCACTGTAAATAGAGTGCAGCTTGAAGGTGAGTATGTTTATTTGATTTGCCATCCAATTACAATGTTAGAAAGATAAGGATAATTTATTTTAAGCCATAAGTGATAAAAAATGGAATACGTTCATATTTCTCATTTATCACCAATTCTGATTCAGATAGTTCATATTCCCTACATCTATACATAGCACTATAACCTTGAAATAAAATTTGTTTTTCACCTGTAGTAGAGATTTCACAAAACTCACGTGAAGTTGGTCTTATTCTGGTCTTCTGCTGCACATGGTGGACATCCACAGGAATGGCTTTCCGCTTTGGCCTGAATGTTTCACTGAGACTGTGAAGAGTAGTCACAGCAGGAACCGGTTCCTTCAGTGGTAACAAAGTCTGGAAATGAAAATAACGTACAGTTTTAGGGAAAAAATAGGATGAGAAGTACTCAGTTGATATCGTTGTGCCTTTTAGACAGAAAAAAACTTCTTGATAAGTTTAGGCCTAGTTTTAGTCAACATATACATTAGTGATAGGCAGGCCCTGTCCTGTAATTGGTGAGCCGTTAATATGTGTCATGTGGTCACTTGATCCTTGAAGTTGCCATGCGATGTTCACACTGTATTCTTCTTCTGCATCCTTTATCTGTGAAGCAAGAGGGCAGGACAGAATGGTGGCCTGGGGGCCTCTGGCCACCTGCACCCTAGAAGCCCCTGGCCTTGTCCTTTGAAGTCTTTTACAGAATCAAGCCGTCAGTAAGTTCTTGGAAACATACAGGTGAGGATGACATTGCTGCATTTCGCTGATGCTCAGGTGGACATTTTGCTCCCTTTGTTACCTCTGAAATTAAGGTGGATCTTGCAATCCATGAGGTGTGGAAGTTTGGTTGGCAGTATGTTCCTCATGTCCTGTCCCTTAGTGCCTTTCACAGGAAAGAGCGACTTGGAGTCAGTGAGATGTGGAATCTCATCCCATCTCTTTCCGAAAAAGAATTTGAAGAAGTTTAACAAAGTATACAAAACAAGGTGAGAGAAATAGGTTGATGAGGAAGAGTAAAAATTAAGGTAAGTTGAATCCCCTGCTCCATACATGCACACAGGGTACGAGGTTTGGGCAGTCTGTCACCCTGGGATCTAAATGTGACTCTGGTTTTCTTGGTTCCTAAGGCAGAATGAGAAAGAAGCCAGACCCTTCCTTCCTAGCAAAAGCTTAAATGGAGTTCATGGAACATTCTTCATTATGCAATAAGCATGCGCCACCCATGCTGCTTCCTCTCTCGAGGCTCCTGAGATCTCAGGAGTCTCCCTTCTCTCCTTCCCCAAGCCCTGGCAACATCTTTTTATTCTATAATTGTTTATGCTGACTGTGCTGACTCTCATTTACCACTAAGTATTAATTTCAGCTTATTGGGAAGCCCACCGCCAATGTTTCTCAGTCTTGAACCAGTAACTTGCTGCTGGAGCAAGCTAGTCTCTGACTTTTGTTTTCTTCTTAGGCTCAAATTGATAAGATTAGACGGGTGCTATTTTAGGCCTAGAATTCAAGCTAATGGTTACTGTTTGGAAATACTTTGAGGTGTTGCATTTGCAGCAGAGATTATCACAGCAGCAAGTCTGTTTAAAATTTGTGCTCATTTCAGTTTTTCTTGCCATCTCGAATTGTATTGATATACGTTCCTAGATTCCTGGGTTTATCATCACCTCTGCACTGTCTATTAAGAAGCTGTGGGAGAAGAGTATCCATCTGGGTCAGAGTGACCTTATGGGGCTGCAGTCTGGCTCCATTTGATGGTGAAGCAATCCTTTTCTTGCTTAGTCAAAAAGAAATTTTCAAGTCAAGTCTAATGGAAACATTGACAAATTTTGCTATTTTGCTCATAGGATTTTATTTGTATTGAAACATTTTCTTTTAAAAAAAAGCATTACATTTTAAATAATTTTCTATACAACTTTAATCAATTTCTTTACTTGGCTTGTTGATTAGATTTTCTTTGGTTGTAATTAGTGAGATGAAACATTGGACATTGAGGTGCACTTGACCTTTTTATAATTATGCTAGTTACAAATCATGTGTAAGTTAGAACTTCCTGGAAAGTTTTGTGGGAAGGCATGGGTGGTCTGTGATACCCAGAGGTATTTAATAAAATCCAATGCAAGATTGTTAAATATTCAAAAATCGCTTACCCTATTTCTGTAGGTTTCTTGCATAGTCAGAATGCAATCTGAGTTTAGAAAACTGCTTCATTCATCTTGGAAGGAAAGACCCTGCAGATGCTTTCCTGTAGGACAATTAGTTGCTGACGCAGAAGCAGGTGTTGGTGAAGCACATTTGTGAACCGATGCTTCTGCCCGGCAGAAGGTTATCTCTGAGTTGTTTTAGCTGAACATGAAATGGGATGTCCACGGCAATTCAAGGCCAGCGGTCCATGTGGTTCGATAATTACTTTTGCCCCTTTGCTTTTGTGGAGTCATTCATTATGAGACTGGGCTTATCTTGTCGTACCTCCCTGTCATTAGCAATGTTGTAGTGCATTAGTGACCAAATGCAGGTTTAACGGTCAGGGATTAGAGCAGGCCAGCTGCAAGCAGAGAGAGCTGGGTTTGGAACTCTGTGATTGTTCAGTGAATTTCTGCTGTGGTATAATAACACTGGAATGGTGGAAAATGGGCTTTCTCTAAAGAGGAAGACATGAAAATAGGGAGCTCAAACAGAAAGACAAAGCCAACTGGGTGCTTAAAAGGTATAAATCATTGAAAGTTTCCAAGTTAAATCAGGAATGTAACTCTGACTTACTTAGAAATTACAAATCTAAAGAGTTTCATCTTTCACAGGAGAAGAAAAAGAAAAAAGAATCTGTAACAAATCAACTCTAATTTATGATGATATCATGTGAAATACCCTCCAGTCTGAGCTCAACCATTTTGGACCTGTGATCTTTTTATAAAACCAGTGTCCTGTCCCATGAACGTGTACCCTTAGCTCCCTCCATGGCCCCCACCAGCCCCCACTGGCCCCCATGTACCCAACAGTTGTTTCTCAGAAGGCCTCACTTTCTCTGATGAAGGTCAAAGCCAAGGTGATGTGCTGGGGATTGAGTCCAATGTAGGAGATACTGTTCTGCTGCAAACATAAGGGGAAGTTCATTACCTTTCAAAATATAAAATTTTTTTCCCAGATAAAAATTGCATTTTCAACCCCATACAAATCACATCATTTATTGGATATTGGCTCTAAGTTGACTTATGCATCTTTATGCAATTGAATTATGCATCTTCAGACTTATTTGCTTTTAATTTATTTGCTATAAACTGTTTTTTTGCACAGTGGATTGAACTAAAAAATACAAAAGTAAGTAATTTCTAGGAAGCACATATCCAAACCCTTTAAAGATTTATGAAAATGTGTGTGAGGCTTTTACATTTCAAAAGAAATTATGGGAGAAATAACCAATATTCAAAAGTTAATAATAGGTTAAGAAATTAGACTAAAGCATCCATGGCAACATTAATAAGAAGCCTAAATTTCATGAGTATGAAATTTGGAGTGTTGGTTGTGGGAATGTGAACTTTACTAACCAGCTTAGACAAGATGAAAAAGTTACCCGTTGCAATAAAATCCTACTCTGGTGTTTTTTGTGTTTTTTTTTTTTTTTTGTCCACAATGACATCTATGAAATCAAATGTTTTCAGGTCAGTGGTAAAAAATGGAAGCATTAAATTGGGGGGAAAGAATTGAGTTAGTTCAAATTGAGTCTTGATTAGCTTGAAAAGATACATTAACCCTTATCATCTATCCCCAACTGAGGACTGAATGACCGGGACGTGGGAAGCATTTTAAATTGATGAAGTCATTCCATTCCACTTAGAAGCATATTTCTGACCAAAAAAAAAAGAAAATGGTTTAGAGTTATATTTTATAAACTCTTTTTTTTTTCTTGGTAGGAGAAATAAAGCTCTTAAATCTTATACAAAAGAAGTAATGAAATAAGAAACAGTATCTAAACCCTTAGATTTTGCCTTTGTCATTCCCACAAATAACCATGAGTCTGACATAGGCATTTTGACCCTAATATAATCTAAAGGGGAAAAGAATTGATTCAAATTAGTCTCCTGCTGAAAGCAAGTTGCCCTAGATAAAGTCCAAAATCTTGGATATTTTTATGTGTGTAAAATCCTTAAAGTAAAATCATGTGTTCCATCAAATTAAATGTATGCTATTTTGATCATTTTTCACATTGGTGAATTTACTGAAAGGTTTATCATTAAGTATAATAAATGCAATGAATGTTACATCATTTTTCATAGAGGACATTTCAGGGAAAGTTGAGTCCAAAAAGTATCATAATAAATCAAAATGAACAAAAACCACCAAATAAATCGTACACATATTACCTAGATCCAGTCTGATGTGCAAAAAGAAAATTGTAGAGACAGTGCAATTGGACCACGTAAATCACTTTTAAAGAATCACGCTCACAGCTGGCTGGCTGGACTTGGGCCATACTTTATTATCTGAGGATGTTCTTTTCTTCTTTCCTCAGATTTTGCAAATGCATTACAACATTTCATCTGTCAGTCTTAATACAAATGGCCATTTAAGCCTTGAAATTGCCCGTATTCTGTCTCATAAGTAATATCATGGGAGTGGGCAGAGTCTCTGCCAGAGTCCCAGCTGGTGTGGAGTGGGACTGCAGCCTCCTTGCTAGTGAAGCACCCCCCCCCACCAAGGAAGGGAAGCACTTCAGTGGGAGTCCCACTCGATGCGCCTTTGGGATCATCCGTTAGAGTGTGTTTTATCAGTAAATAAAACATTATTGAGAGTCTCCTAGTTGTAAGTGTGTTTCTACAACTGAAAACCCACACAGACCCTTCTTTCCAAACTCAGGATAACCAAATTTCGTCAATTCTTGCTATTCTTTCAGATGGCTTATGTAAGATCAGGTATGGATCTATCTGTATGGAACTGTCTTTATCTTGACAGTTTGGACAGAATAAAAAAGGGGGCCAAGAAGCACCTGTCTTGACCAGATTAGCCAAATTAAAAAAAAAAAAAAAACCCACGTAGAACAATAACATGGCAATAATATGCAGTGAGTTAAAAGGACTGAAAGAGATAAAATGATAATAAAGGTAAATATTTTTAACTAATAGATAGTTATCAAATGCAATATGGAGAAAATTAAGTGGCAATTTTGCTTCCACATTCAAAAATTGTTATATAACATAGCCATGCATGTATCCAAAGAGAATGGAGTAGAGAACAGACAGATATTTAACCTCATTTATTTATTTGTTGTATCATATTGCATTGGAAGTTGTAACCCGTGGATGTCAGTGTGTTTAAAAATATCTTGTGAGGGGTTGGGGTGCAGCTCAAGGAGAGAGGCTGTGCTCTGTGTGCACAAGATCCCAGGTTCCATTCTAGCCCCCAAACAGAAATTTCAGGAACAACAGCAATATTGAATCTATAATATTCCCAAATGTTTCTTCTCAACTTTGATCCATTTAACCAAGTCAAGCCAAATTTAACAAGTATGGTTATCCCTAGCAATGTTCTAACACACTAATGTTCTTAGGAAGGGAGTGTACTTCATTACAGTGGACTTATAGTTAATGTCCCTATTAACCAAGACTGAAAATCAAACACTTTTGCTTCACAAAACAAGTACAGTCTATACTAAGAGTTCTCAAACTTGAGCTTGTATCAGCATTTCCTGGAGTGCTCCTTAGTAACAGGACCCATCTCTGGAATTTCCAACTCCAAGGGCTGGGGGTGGATGGGAATCTGTTTTTAACAAGCTCCTTCATGGTGTCAATGCTGCAGGTCTGGGGCAAGTTGATTTATTCTAACAAAAAGGTTTGCTTTCTTGTTATTTCTGTTCTTTAAAACAAAACAAAACAAAAACAAGCTATTATTATTTGGGTCTCTCTGTTATGCACCCAGGTCAAGGTTGGGACTCAGAGTTAGGACTTTCAGTGGTTCCGTGGTGGATGATACCAGCTGCCTTTGCCTCAGGCAGCCTGGGTGACTGCCCTCACTGATGGGTGAAACTTCCTGTGGAAAGAGTCCACTGCATTATGCCTAAGTGCCAAAGTGTCATGACAGCTTGGCTGATGCTGTGCTTACACAGTGCTCCCAGCTAAATACCTTGCTAGGTATTGCTCAAGGTCCTCAGTATAGCCCAGTGATACTCAGAGGGGAGATCCTGCTCAGTGAGTGGCAGGGCTGGGGCTTCTCCCATTTGTCCCCAGTTCGTCCTTAGAAGTCAGACTTTCTCAGAAGTTAGCTGCAGCCACTCTCACTCTGGAAGACCTGTCCCAAGGCAAAAACTGTGTGCCTCAAAGTGGCATCTCACGATCTCTGTTGGAGCAGCTGTTTCTAGAGTTGGGGCTGGGGCTGAGTACTGAGCTCTGGGACACACGTGGTACTGGTGGGAAGTTTGCTCAAAAAATAAGCACAGGACCAAACTTCACCAACCACCTAAGATTGGCATGGTTGTCTCCCAGGGGACTGCAAAATAGATGCTCCATCACATGAATGGGCAGGGCGTTTGATTAGAGAGGGTGGATGAAGGGCCTGGAGGACTCTGGCCCCCACAGTGGTCTTCAGGTGTGCTACCTTTTATGTGTCAAGTGTGTTCATAAATTGTTATCTGGATTAAAATCAGAAATTTTAGAAATAAACTGTCATGGAACAGGTAGTCAGCAAAATTTCCACGGAGGTACTGATTTGAACCTAGTGCCAGCAGAGCCAGAGAATGGCAGAGCTGACCCTTCACACCCTGCCTGGTGGACGCTTCACCTGTCAAGTCAATGTTGTCAAACCACTCACAAGTGGACAAGAAGTTCTGGTCAAAGTCCTCAAAAATTATCAGGAAGGCTATTTGTCATGTGGGTTTGCATCTAGCATTTTAAAGCCATCGACCTTGTCCTTGGATGATATTGAGTCTGAAGATATTTACTATAACATCAATACATCCTATAAACTATATGTACAACTTATAATAAAGCAAATATATATGTATTGTGATGCGTGCACAAGAGTTTTCCTTTTTTTCTGAGAGTAGCATGCAGTTTTAAAAAACTTGTAGACGTTTGTTGTAATAAGAGTTTTGCAGCTGGTGAGGAAAGATTTTCGAATGTCTGGCATTTATGGGTCGTCATTGATCTTGCTATCTGATAGACAAATCAACAGTGTGTGCTTCTGATTGAAGTTACTCTGAAGCTGGCTTTCTCTGTGAAAACCTGCTCTCCTATAAAATGAAAATGTGCACAGAGCTGTTAAGAAGATTGAAGATACTGAGGCACAGGAAGTTGATAGCACAGTACCAGCCACACGGTAAAGGCGAGAACGATCTCACAAGAAGAGCAGGTTCTAATGCACAAGCAAATGCTTGGTAGTCAGGTTAGTGGTTTCCATGTGCCAACGTTCTTGGGACACCCAGTTAGCTCTGGAAATAATCTCTTTAATGAATGAGAGTGCTCTGAGGTATTTTGACCATAAAATTTGTCTCACTCTTCAATTCTCTTGTTTTTATTTATAAAAGCAACTCCTGGGATGCTGGGCATATCCTAAGAAAAGCACATAAGAGAAAAATGGAATATGGAGAATCCATTTAAAGTTGTACTATACTTTAAAAGGAATTGTTTCTAGGGACTCAGGGAGATCTGAAGGATTCGGATTAAATTTCAAAATGGCTAGTACATTTCTATTACAGGAAGGCCTTTTGACACAGGTCTAATAGCAGCCCTTCTTTCAATCAATTTTAGATTCATATAATCTGAAAGAGATCAGGTCCTTGTAATGTGGAAAAGTTCAGCACATTGCTGTCATGTTTGTATCCCACCTGGTGAGAGGCGTGTCATCCCCAAGGGTGCGAGGCAATGCCTTGTGGTGACCTGGAGCACCACCACAAACACTGAGCCCAAATTTGCCTCAGATTTGGGGACTTTTATATATCAAGCCTTGGTTCCTTTCATTTTGCATTTGAACGGATTTTTTGTTTCAAGACCAGGAAACCTGCACTTTATTTACTGTTCAATCTAGTACAGGTACCATTCCCTATCTTAATACATGTAAGGTTGCCTTTGAACACTCTAGATACTTAGAAACACAAGAAGCCTGGAGAAAACAACTTTGGGCCTTGCCACTATTTGCTTCAAATGCCTCTTCCTTTCTGCAGGGACACCAATGCAGGCAATGGTGGGCATTTAGCACGGGTTGCCCCTCTGTGGGTTTGCATCTGAGCTGCATGGACCACCTTGAACTCCACCTGCCGCATAGCGCTGCTTCCTAATAGTTGCTCAGAAGCCACGCTTCTCCTTCGACGTTCGTGCATACAACTTCTGTGCTGGGCATTGATTTTTGTGGGTCATCGTAAAGAGCAAGATAAATAACCTGTGGACTAAATTCAGTGTAAGTGTGCATACTTTAAATAGGGTTAAAAACTCCTTAATGTTGAAATTTCTTTAGCTTGGCAGTAAAACAAAATCAATGCTAATTTAATAGGAGCTCACAAACCAAGTTTTGCTTTCATTGCCCTTTCAAAAGAGTAAAGTGCCGCAGTTATAAACAGAATTAGTAATTGCTTGGTTGATATGCCTGTTGAATAGCAGATGATTCTTATTCAGTCTATTCCCTTTAAAATCCATTACCTTAATTTTAGATATATTACTTGATAACAAGACTGTTGATCAAAATGGTTGCATTAAACCTGCTTATAATTTTGTAAAGTGATTTTTAATTCCTCCTAAACACCCTTCCTCCTGGCAGAGGAAAAAAAAATTGCTCCTGGCTTGCTCAAAATTGGCCCTGTTTTTCTTAGATGATCTTTAATTACACTTTAAAGCAGCATTTCTTAATGGGGGATTGGAATTCTGCTTGTTAGAAAATTACAGAGGGTATTTGGGGATCTGCTGTTAGCTGCAGGAACAAATAGAGAGATTAGTGAGACAAATGATCAGTAGCCTAAAAAATTACCTGTGGGAGATAATTATTAGCCCAGGGAAGATCTGGCTGTGGTCATAAAGGCTGCTAGATTATGAGCTTATCAAGCCCGTCTTAGGAGCCGCTGAGGAGCCCAAAGAAGGTTTATATTAGTCACCAAGCATCAGTGCAGGGGTCATCTTGGAGATTAATGAATTTACCACAGCTTCTTCCCAGGCCCAGCCATAACAACATGATGGAGGCTAGAGTCGGAGGAAGAGGAGGCTGGGAGGCCAAAGCCACTGAACCCACACATGGATGGAACCAGAAAGAAGGTTTCATGGCATATTTTGGAGCAAGAAGGCAGAAGCGGAAGGTGCACAAGAGAGGGTAAAAGGTCATAGTACCTCCCTTACAAGGTGTGCAAAGATGACCAGAATTGAGGGTAGCTACCCGGTGGCCAAGGACCTTCAAGATTCTCCCATGTCATGTCATCCTTACTGAGGCCAGGGCTGATGTGCCAACCATGTCATGTAGCAACCTTATCTTAGTGAGATGAACATCTCAAGATGGATTTTGTAGGCTCTTGTTACAGACGTACGTAGTTTCAGCATGAGATATAGTGGCCACTGTGGCACGCGCCAGAGCAGGAGAGAGGCACTGGTGAGGAGCCGCAGGGGCAGGGACTCTATCTTGCCTGGTATGTCTGCCTGCAAGGCTCTGCTTTTGTGTGGAAAGGACAGAGACAGCATTGAGGCCAGACGACCCACCCGTCTCTCTCATGACTGTATTTTAATCGCCACCCTTTGTAAAAACCAAGCGCAGATAGATGTTCAATAAAAACTTGTTAACTCAGTGGATGAGCAATTAAGGTGACAGACGTGCTTTACTTATAAATGGGTAGATTCTGAGGAGTAACTATGACTTTTTATCCATGTTTTTCCCCCTTTAAATGGAAATGAGTACGACTCCGACTACACCAGAGCTTTCTTCCTAAGAGTCACAGTTTATGTTCATTGTTTAGTTTGGAAAACTAGGTGGCCCCAAGTCAACTTAACCTCTTGTTAGAAGACTGTGTAAGGCATCAGATCATGTATGAGAGGACATAGAGAAAGTGACATTTGTTCTGTGCCCTCAGAGCACTTCAAAGCAATCCTACAGACTGGCGTGGTGGCACACACTTGTAGTCCCAGGCACTTGGGAGGCTGAGGAGGGGGGATCACTTGAGACTGGGATTGGAGGCCAGCCTGAGCAACATGGCGAGACCCTGTCTCTCTCTCTCTCTCTCACACACACACACACACACACACAATCACTAATGATATATATATTCCAATAACAATCAGAATCAGAAAATTTTCAGCATGGTGACAATGTACTGGCTGCACTTAGTGTGGATCACCATCCTTCTGGGGGCTGTATAGGCAGCCCACGGAGGTCATGGATGGCTTGTTTTCCACCAGGCTGAGTAGCACCAAAGGTCTAGCAATAAATGATGCAGATGTCATTATTACTGCAGAGGGGGCACTTCAGTGGCCTTGCCTACGGTTCCTTGATGCTTGCTCTGGGGACTGGCTTATTTTTCTGTATATTTTTGTTTCTATCTCATTTAGAACACAGAGTGACAGGGAATTAATATTTGTTGAAAAAATATATCAAGGGCTATTAACAACTTTTTCTACTCCTTTACAGTTTGCAATAAGAACATTGGCAAGGTCAGGGAATCTTTCATGGGTGGTCCCTACCTAGGTCTCACTTCAGGTGACAGCAGAGGTGGGCCCCCGATGTGGCTTGGAATAGAAGTCAATATGTCTATCGGACATGATGCCCACAGGCACCATGGAGAGTACTTTGGAATGGTCCCCTCACACCTTCCAGGTCATAGGCACTCCAGGGGCAGAGTGTCATTTGCTTCACAGGTGAAATGATCTTATCTTTCTTATTTATTTTTTTTTATACTGGAGATTAAACTTGGGCGCTTTACTACTGAGCTACATCCCCAGCCCCATGCCTGATTTTATTAAGACGGGATCTTACTAAGTTTCTGAGGCTGGCTTGCTAAGTCTCCTGAGTCACACAGATTACAGGCAGTGGCCCCTGGCCCACATTTCTGAATTTCAAATAAATACTGAACCTGAATAAAGACTTTATGACTTCTAGGTCTTGTCTTTTAAATAAAGAACCATCAGTCCAGGGTTCCCCCATGTGTCTTCTGACTGGGAAAACAGATCAGAGGGGCACACAGTCTCAGCACGTCCACACAGGCAAACATACACGTGCGTGCACACACAATCACACACTGTCCAATACACAGAAAAGAAGTGCCAACACTGGCCACCTGGGAAAGGGCCCATTAGGGCTGCTTGGCAGTCTTCTGTGTCTGCAAATTTGCAAAGTCCCCAGAAGGACATAATGGTCCCCTCGTCCTAATCTCAGCTTTATCGCCTCACTGCTAGAAGATTTACCCTCTGAAAGACTCCGACGTTTGGCAAGTCCTGCCTGGAAGGGAAAAGCCTCAGGAACAGAAGACGGTCACTTGAGCCTGGGCAGCGTTGCTTGGCCCTGCTGGGAGCCTTCATCCCTGTTACTGTGCAGAGCAAGAGAATGCCGTCCACTCTGTAGCTCGAATCATTCTTCAAGACTGTGACCTCTGTGTACCTGCAAGTACCTTACTTTAAACAACTTTGAGATCAAAGTTCTATTATTGTTCACTTACTGCTGTAAAAACTTAGACCCAGTGGTAGGAAAATCTTGAGCTGACTGTGGTCCCAAGATATAGAATTTCTGGCATTATGTGGTTATTTTTATGAGATCCATAAACTTTGGTTAAAGGTCCACAATTGCACACCATTCTATTCAAAGTAACCCAAAAATACTTCCTTAGTTTTATCAGCTCAGTGACTTTCCAGACTTGCATGTTCCAATCGACCATAGTTGTTACCAAAGTTTGGTGGTAGTTAGAGTTTTGATGAGTCACCCCAAAATATTGGGTCTATCTCCCTGAGAGACCACTGTGCATTTATTGTTTCCTCCTTTAAAAAAAAAAAAAAAACTGGTAGAAACACACCAGCTCCACAGACTCCGAGCGCCGTCCCAGCTTAAATGGTAGTGGCAGAAAGAAAAACAAGAGGCCGTGTTTACCCCTCGTGATTCCAAATTGTTGTGTCTTCCAGATGGCTCCCGGAGGTCAGATTACTACAGCGAATGCCGTTCTGAAAATGTTTCTCTTGGTATCCAAAGGCATCAAATTAAAAATCTCAGATTTGTGGAATTTTAACATAACCCACATTTTGGGAGTGGGGACATCACTAGGGTTTTCCTGCCTTGCTATCTCAGGCCTGCAATGCTAACTGACCACCGGCGTTGTTTTCTGGGAGATAATGTGTTCCAGCTGCTCTGTTACCACCTCTTCCTTGCTGTCTTATTCAAGCCACAACTTTGGTATAACTTCAGCTTTTCGGATCAGGATCAACTGGATGGCTAGGTATATCCATTAGAAATTAAACGCTGAGCTGCAAGGCAACCACCATCAAGGCCTGGAGAAGGACGACTGTGGTCAAACAAACTGCAAAGAGGTGAAAGTCTTCTCCTGGAGTGTGGGAGTTCTCACGGCTGTTTGCTTTAGCCCTGCCAAGTCAATTATTTATTGTTAGTGCAGAAATGAAATGATATCAAATGCAGATGCATATATGCTAGGTTCCAACACGGGCTCATTGTCGAGTTAGGAAGAGGCCCTTGCCCACGGAGTCCCCTTACTGCCACGCAGCCCCACAGGGCAGCCCTCCCACGGCTCACACATAGTGTAAAATATGTATTTTTAAGGCTCTCAGAGGTTTAATAAAGCCCCCATCAGTTTGCTGTTGCTGCAGCCCAGACAATCTCGTTTCAAGGACTTGCGAGGCCTCACCTGGGCTTGCGTGGCCCTTGAGCCAGATGGAGTTTTATGAAGCCTGATCTCGCTCTGTTGGAGACATCTGAGGAGTCCCGCGGCAGGCAGCGGAGGGGCTCCACGCGGGCAGTTGCAGTGGCGGTGTCCTCGCAGGGTCCCCTGCACTGCTTTCCCTGGGGAACGGTGCAGTGTTTACATAGCGTTTTTACAGAAGGATTCGTTTAGGATTAACTTAATTGAATAAACACAAAGCTGCATAATTTACAGACCAAAATAGTTTTTCCTGGTTGGGTTGCTGACTAGCATTTCCTTTCTCCCTAATGGAATATTGCAAAGCCCCATATTGTTGTAATCAGAATTTCATCTTCAAGTCAATCCAGTTCATTTACATGATATGATTTTATTATATGCCAGATGTATAAATAATTGCTCAAGAAGAGAGCCTTTTCTTCAGGCGAAGTAATGGATACATATATATATATATATATATATATATATATATATATGATTTATTTCATTTAATTTTTATTTTTTTCTAATAGAAATGTCTAAGTCCAAAAGAAAAATCACTTCATTATGGGAGTTATACTGAATTCTTGTTAATGTTTCCAAGAAAAGATAATTTAGGAAAACAAAAATAGTGGTTTAGATTTTGTTCATCAGCCATCATGGTACTTCTCTGTTGAAGGACCCATGTGGTTCTCCACTGCCCACTATGTCAAGTTGGGACTTCTCTGCATGTGTCTCAAGAGTGTGCATAATTGGCCCATCCCAGCCCTGCTGGCTACCTCAGGCCCACGTTAGCACTCATGAGCAGCAAGGCCACTCACAGCCTCATGCCTCACTTTCAGAGTGTTCATGATGTTTTCTGTCCCTGCTGTGCCCTGCACACTGAATGCCCAGTTTGAATTTTCAGCCATTTGAAAGATGCCATATAAAATCCATCGTCCCAGGGAGAAGAAGGAAATTCTCACGGCTCTATCTGCAGTTAACTGCCACTTCCGTGATGGTTGAACAAAACTGTTCTCCAAGATATGTCTGTGTTTTAACCTCAGAACCTGTGAATATCCTTTTACCTTTGAAAATTGTCTTTGTGCATGAAATTAAGTTGAGGATGCCCAGAGGAGATGTCCTGGATTACTCATGTAGGCCCAAATTGCCGCAGTCTGGCTGGGCACAAATCAGGAGCCACTCAAGCAGGAACAAACTTTATTTCCAAACTCCCACAGCACTCCACACACGCTTCGCGGGAACACTCCCGAACCCCACCCACGTGGCCCTCTCTGGGACACACCACACACCAACCGGAACTCCCTCCACCGGAACTTCCAACCAACGCGAAATCTCCAGGAATCCCCGCGAGAGCTCAACCGGAACTCAACGGGAACTCCTCGAGAACTCAAAAGTACTGGCAAAATGCTAGGCGCCATCCGAACTCGGCTGTGGCTCTCAACACCAAATGCCTTCATGAGGGGCTTTGTAAGGATGAGGAAAGGGAGATTTGCCCCGCACCTAAGAGATTTGCCACTGAGGCCCCGCAGGCAGAGATGGGAGAGCTGTGGTCACAGATGGAGGAATGCCTACAGCCACAGAAGCAGGAAGAAGCAGGAAAGTGACCCTCCCTGGACTCTGCCTGCAGATGCCTTGATTTTGGACTCCTAGCCTCCTGAACTGTGAGAACACGAATTTCTGTTGCATTATGCCACCAAGTTTGTGGTAATTCCTTAAAGCAGCCACAAGAAATCAGTGCCCTTTGGAAATAATTGAACATGTGCTCTGTTTGGTACAGGTAGCACCTAAAGCTTCCCTAATTCTTCCTCTGTGGCTCCCTTCCCAGATAGATTACAAATTCCTGGTAGGTTCTTAGAGCTGTCTGGTACAGATATAGTCATAGAATTGCATGAAATTATTTTGGAATAATTAACTGGTTATTTTTCCAAACTGGGAGAGACAAATGCTGGTGGCA